ACTCTAGGTTTACTTGGACATTGTTTTTAACATCTAAATATGAAGCATTTGACATGTTTACTTCTTTTGTTAGAAAAACTCGGAAACAACTAGGTAATCAACTTGCATCAATTAGTTCTGATCATGGAACTGAATTTGAAAATGCTAAGTTTGCTGAATTTTTGCATGCTACATCATAAATAGCTTCATGACTAGACCTCTTGTTGAGAAAACTCCCTATGAGTTACTTAAAGGGAGAAAACCAAACATATCCCACCTTAGGGCATTTGGTTGCAAGTGCTATGTGCACAATAATGGAAAAGACTCCCTAGGTAAGTATGATCCCAGAAGTGAAGGGAGTATTCTCGGGATATTCTTCACATAGTAAAGCTTATAAGATATACAGTAAAAGAACTATGTGTGTAGAAAAAATGTATATGTTATTTAAAACTAACATTCTTTCTGAGAAGCAGGAAAAAGATAATGAAGAGATTGGGTTGATAAGAAATTCAAATGGTGAAACCATAGTCTAGCCTGAAGATGCGTCACAGGAAGGAACAGGTGATGGAACAGGTCCTTCCACCCAGGGCAACATGACAGGGGGAACTGACTAGAGAGGAACTGATCCTCTAACCTCGAGGGAACATGTCCATGAACCTATTCCATAGTAAACAAAAAAAAACCAGGAAGAAACATCTAAAGAAATTGACACTCCTATTGCAACATCCACGAAATTGGATATAGATGAACCTGGTTCATCTTTTGATCAGAAGTTGTATAGGGGAATGATTGGTTCTCTTTTGTATCTTACTACTAGCAGGCCTAACATTGTTTTCAGTATAGGTCTTTGTGCTCGATTTTAGGCAAATCCAAAGAAGTCCCACTTGACTGCTGTCAAGAGAATATTGAGATACTTGAAAGGCACCACTGACCTTTGCCTTTGGTATCCAAAAGGTAGTAATTTTAACCTAGTGGGATATGTTGACGCATATTATGCAGGTTTCCTATTGGATAGGAAGAGCACCTCAGGTATGGCACACTTCCTTGGTTCATGTTTTGTGTCATGCGCTACTAAAAAGCAAAATTTAGTGGCCTTATCTACTGCTGAAGCTAAGTATGTTGTTGCTGCTTCATGATTGTGCTCAATTGTTATGGATCAAGTAGCAGTTGATGGATTTTGGTATTGAAGTTGGTTGTATTCCTATTTTCTGTAATAACACTAGTGCTATTAGTATGACTAAGAATCCGGTTCATCATAAGAGAACTAAGCACATAGATGTTAGACACTAATTTTTGAGGGACAACTATGAGAAAGGCTTGATCACTATGGAGTTTTGTGCTACTGACAAGCAAATTGCTGACATCTTCACAAAAGCCTTAGGTAGAGATCACTTTGAGAGGAACAGGTTGGAATTAGGGATGATTAAGATCACCTAAAAGGACCAGTTCAAGGTTAAACGAAAAACAATAAAAAAAAATTTGAAAATTTTGGTTAGGAAGTCTGTAAATTGTGTATAATTAGATTAAATCTTGCTCAGTCTCATACTTTTCATAGTATACCCTTGTGCCATGTGCTAAAATGACTCATTAATCTCTAATGATATTTTCTCTATTTTGGCAAATTTAGACTTACACAAGAGAATTTTCAGTGAAGAACCTGGTTCATCAAGATAACACGGTATATTTTCTACACTCTGCATAATTTGAAATAACTATATTTGGATCATGAGCAGAGTCCTACCAAATACCAAACTTCTTTTGGACTTATCCGTTACAAGTGAACCAGTCCCGTTTAAAAGAGTCCCAACCGAATGGAAGTACATAGATTCTAGGGAGACACTCCAATGTATCTTCAAAGTTGAATTTCAGTTTGATTAAAACTTCTAAGAGTCTGAAAAGCTGTAGTTACCCCATCAATTATTCTCCTGTATATTGATCAGCTTTAGTATATTCCTTACTTCATCTCTCTCAAGCCGTCAAAAACTCTCATTCTTCTTTCATCTTCCAAACACAATCTAATTCTCTTCTCTTCCATACCCTAGCCCAGATATGTCGAACACCTCTGAAAATCCTTCATCACCACCACAGGAAACCACTTCCACACCTTCTACAACACCAATCTCTAAGAAAAGTAGAGTAAAGATGATGGCTCGTAAGATTGTCGCTGAATGAGAGCAGATCAAGAAAATAAACAAGCGATTGAAAGCAGGTAGGGAAGAAGAATCCTAGAAATCTGAAGATTAATTTAAGTCTGCTACTAAGGGGGAAGAAAGTAGGTCTTCCGAAATTGAACAGGTATCTTCTGATTCTAAAATTACTCTTGAGACAATTTCTGAAGTTTCTGCAAATTTGGAGAATAGATTTGTACTGGTAGGATCTATAGAAGGTGTTGAGACTACAGAATCTGGAGAAGTTGGTGAAAAAAAAAAAAGAAAACGAGAGCAAGGGTGATAGGAGTGCTGTGAGGGGAAAGAGTAAAAGAGTGGTTGATTCTTCACCCACTCCTGTTGGTCGAACAAAAGAAACTGGTGCAATGGTTGTTTGGGGAGAGGAATTTACTGAAATAGAAGAGAGTGTGAGCAAAACAGGGGGAAGTGGGAAGCTGCTGAGGGGTAGGTTCAACTTGAGAAATATAGATGAACCTGTTCCATCTGAACAGGAAACCCTCTTGAACGTACTAATAGGGTTATCAATGGCACGAAAACTCATACCATTCCCTATGGTTTCATTCTCACAAATGTGCTTGAACATTTCAAGGTACCTATGAAGAAGTGGGAGGTTAGTACAAGAAAGGATCATTTTGGGGTTAATACTCTACTTGCTTGCGATTATGAAGTCAATGTCATTCCTAATGAACCTGGTTCATCTAAAAGGACACCTATCAATAGCAAGGTCAGAGCTCTATTACATGAGAGTGAGGCAAAGGATGTTGAGATAGCAAGGCTAAAGACATGATTGGTTGAGGTAGAATCTGAGAGAGATGTTCTCAGAACTGAACTTGCAAAGGAAAAGGAGAAGAATGATGGAATTCTTCAAGACATGCTGAAACTTCTCCAAGCAAATAACCCAGCCCCTACCTCTTGCAAGCCTTAAATCTTAGCCTAGTGTAGATCAACCAGTGGCCCAATTCGAGACCTTTTGTTTCTTTTGCTCATGTTTTCAGTATTTTTATTTCTTCTTATGCTTTGTGGTAGAATCTTATCAATCATCAATGAAATTCACTGTTTTTGCTCTAACTGTTTGTTCATATTTCTTTGATGGTTAAAATTCTTAGCTTGATCTATGATGATTAATCCATGATTGCATTTGAAGTAGCCCCGGTGGCCATGAGTAAGCTTTAAAATCTGGTTATCTCACATTTTTTATGCAACTTTTCGATGATGCCAAAAGGGGGAAAAAGGTTGTGCTTTAAACAAGTGATGTTTAGACTTTGAACAGTGATGTTTATAACCTAATGTACCTAGTCCTTGATGATAAGTGATATAAAGGAAAAATGTTTCTAACATTGTGTTGATGTTTGAGCTGAGTTCTGGCAGGGCCTAAGTGTATGAAAAGCACAGTGTTTGTCATCATCAAAAAGGGGGAATTTGTTGGCCCAAGTAAAGGTTAGTTTTGAAGACTGACAAATGAACTCAGACATGAACCAGGTCCATCCAGTGGTCCATCCCTCAGGTTCACAAAAACGGGCAGATTCAAGCATGTGGGATGCACGTGAAGGAGATAAGCTTAACTTGGTGTATTTAATATCTCCTGATCGAAAAGGTTGCATAATTGATAAGGAGAAGGACTCCTTAATCAAAGAGAACGCAATTCAAGATAGGGAAGGAGTTAGAAGTTGAAATCAACTACAACTCTTCCACCAAGGAAGAGTTGCATCAGAACTCTAGTTATTTCTTCATCTACTAACTCTATAAATTGCAGGATGTTCTCACATTAAAGTGTTGCACAAAAACGCAGAAGTTAAACGTGAATTGGGAGAAAAATAGCAAGGCTTTTTGCAAGCAGTTCGTGTGTGATTCAAGTGTGCAAACCAGAAGCTACATGAACCAGATTGAAGAACCAGCTCCATAAAGAGTTTTATGTGTCTTTCTTTATTTCTAGTTCAATTGTAGTAGGTATTTTATATTGTACCTTTCAGCTTTATCTAGAAGCAATTATAATAGGTATATTGAGTATTCAACTTAGAGTTAACTTGAAGTTGTCGCAGCAGTTAGAGGCTGGTTGCCACAACGGGATTAGAGTTAATCCTTAGGTTTACAAGAGTTTTGTAAATGCTGTTTTGGCTCAGTGATTTTAGTGGAAGTTTGGGAAAATCCTACTGAGTAGTAGGTCGTAGTTTTTTGAGCCTTCCAAACACATAAACCTCCGAACTCATAATTTTGGAACTTGTAAAATTTTGAGCCTTTAAACCAATAAATAATAAAATTAAAACTGAAAAATATATTAAATTTATTTTTTTCGGGGAGGGGGGGGGGGGGGCAAGGGGTGGGGCGGAGCTGGGGGGGGGGGGGGGGGTAAACGAAAAAACAGAAATTTAAATTACAAAAAAAAGTAAATTTTTTTTGTGCCGGGGGGGGGTTACGGAAAAATTGAAATTTGAAAAAGAAAAAAAATCTTTTTTTTTGAAAAGGGGGTATGGTAAGTTGGTGAGGGTGGAAAGGTTGAGAAGGTGTTTTGGAAAATATTTTCCTCTAAGAAAAATATTTTTCTCCGATCGGAGGAAAATGAATTGATAAAACTAGAATACTGTCATATTGATAGGCTTGTATTGACTAACAAAATAAAAATACTCAGTCCAATATATTGTTAGCCGAAACAAAATATTAGTAAATGACAAAGAAATGGGCAGCTGCTGTCATTGCTCTTGTCATAAAGACAATTGAATCGGCTGCAAGTCAAAAAACAGACAATTTTATAATCACATTTCGACCAGTTTTGCCGGAAACCAAAAACCTTAAAAATATTTGCTTTTGTCTAACTTTGAACAAATGGATGGTTCGTGAAAGTTTCTGAAAATTTATATATATGGCAGCTTAAAGCAAAACCATGTCAACTCTCAGAAAGAATATCGGAGTGGAAAATGGGAGAAGAAAACAAGGTAACTGTACATGGAATGTGGCTTAGTCCTTATGTGAAGAGAGTAGAACTAGCTCTCAAAGTCAAAGGCATACCTTTTGAGTATGTAGAAGAAGATCTAAGCAACAAAAGTCCATTGCTCCTCAAATACAATCCAGTTCATAAGAAAGTCCCTGTTCTTGTTCACAACGAAAAACCAGTAAACGAGTCCCTTGTCATTCTTGAATACATCGATGAAACATGGAAGAATGGACCTCGACTCTTGCCAGAGGATCCTTATGAAAGATCCAAAGTCCGATTCTGGGCTGCTTATATCCAACATGTAAGATCAGATAATCCATTTTTATATTATGCATCCACCATTTTCATGTAGCATAAGAATCTGACTATTAAATAATCCACGTGTTTGCAGGTGATGGAGTGCATGCTTAAGATATTCAAAGCAGAAGATCAAGAAAAAGCCTGTGAGGAATTCTATCAGAAACTAGGCGTGCTTGAAGATGGAATGAAGAATATGTTTCCAGAGGGCAGTCCTGTGAAAAGCAGGAACATAGGGCTCCTAGATATCTTGATTGTCGTTGCATTTGGCGCGTGTAAAGCACAGGAGGAAGTGTTCGGAGTGAAGTTTTTGGACCCAAATAATACTCCCCTGATAACCTCATGGCTCAATAGCCTACTTGAATTGCCCGTGGTTAAAGAAAGTGTTCCCCCTCATGACAAGGTGGTTTCATTTCTTCGATTTTTCAAAGAAAGCAGCTCTAATGCTCAGGCTTAGAGCTTTAAATGTGTTCTGTTTTCGTTTGCTCCTACTTTATTTGTACTGGTGCTGGTCTTCTTTGTAATAAGGCTTATGGCCATAAGAATTCAATATGCTGCTATCATTTGGTTGAAATATAGAGTAAATTGCCCCAAAGCACTTCTGCTGCCTGATTTTTCCTCCTGTGAAGCTTGCATCAAGATTATTTACCTAATCAAAGAACACATATTGACAGACTAATCAAACAGTAACAATAATTTAAAAAAAAAGATGGATAGCATTTGCACATAATAACTGAAACTATCCTTCAAATGGAGGAGATACAGTGCTCTATTGATGAGAGGATGATGATATATGAAAATTCAATGGTTTCTCCTTATCAGGCAAGCAAGTTGTTGTGCGCCATGGCTTCAAGATCCTTAAAATAGACGAAACAAGTTGATCGTTCACTTTAATTAAACAGATCCATCAAAAAAGAACAACATTAGTGGTGAGCTATATTGTGCATCAGCTATCTCGAGGATAGCTCCACGCCTCCACACCCGATCACTGTATTCTTGTTTTAATCCCCTATATTCAAATGCATCCAGCCTAACTGCAGCTCTTAGGAATACACACTACAACCACTAGAGAATGCATACATCTACTTGCTTTTGACACATTTTCCATTCACCGGTAATCCAAAAGGCATATTGATAGGTTATGCATCCTGTTATGTTTTGATGATCTAACAAACTTAATGTTAAGAACCAGATAAGGAACCAGTTCCACATCCTCAAGCACTCAAGAACAGGGACATGTTTCAACAATTCAGAGCCAAAGAAACAACAGAGGGAACAGATGGTCATCAGTTCCCTTGCTGACTGTACCAGTCAACCCCCACAGCTATAAAGTTGCTGCCACTGTTTCTCTGCACACACGCAACAGTGCAAACAGTGCAACAGTCACTTTATGGGGAATGTCCTTGTACCAAATATGCTTGCATCATTCAAGTGATGTCACTTACGTAATATTAACATGAAACAAAGGAAAAATATCACACTTGCACATCCTAGAATTCATCAATCATTTTCTCAAGTGTATGTTCATTTGACAAGTTACTTCCAAGGGCATCAAGAACAAAGAACAACATAACGAAGGACTGGTTTCCTGCATCGAGTCATTATATGTCCTTAGTTGTGTTGCACCTTTGTTAAAGTGTTTCATTTGTAATTCCTACTTAGCTTAGTTAGAAGCATTGTGTAGGAAATCTGTTGTAAAATCATAAACCTTGTGTTTGTGTCTTGGCTAGAGTTATAGCCTGTTTGGCCAAGCTTTTTTTTGGCCAAAAGTGCTTTTTTTTGGCCAAAAGCACTTTTGGCCAAAATTTGAGGTGTTTGGCCAAGCTTTTGGAAGGAAAAAAAGTGCTTTTGAAGAGAAGCAGAAGCAGTTTTGGAGAAGTAGAAAAAAGTAGCTTCTCTCCAAAAGCACTTTTTTGAGAAGCACTTTTGAGAAAAATACACTTAGAAGTAGTTTTTTAAAGCTTGGCCAAACACTAATTGCTGCTCAGAAGTGCTTTTCAAACTAATTAGCCAAACACAAACTGCTTCTCACCAAAAGTACTTTTGAGAAAAGCACTTTTGAAAAAAAGCACTTCTCAAAATAAGCTGATTTTTGCAGCTTGGCCAAACGGGCTATTAGTCGAGTTGTAAGCTTTGTAATAAAGTATTGCAAAAGGGCTTGTGATAGAGTTATTACAAGTTAGTGAGGGAATAAGAGGTTAATTCCTAGGTTACAATAGTTTGTAATCTGAAAGTTTGCTCAGTAGTGAAGTTGAAATCCTACAAGGGTAGGTCGTGGTTTTTAATCCTGTGAGCTGGGACTTTTTCACGTAATCTATTATGTCATTTACTTATTGTTGTGTGTGTACGTTCTATGGGAACTAATAGAGAACCTGGTTCTCTATATAGTTTGGTGGACCCTTAGTTTCTATCAATTGGTATTAGAGCAAGTTCTTTCTACCAGGCTAACACCTAGAAAGGATCCTCATGGCTACTTTACCAGACCTTGAAGAAGGCCAATCTACCTATAGACTATCAAGACCCAACGACTAATACTATGGATGGTGGAAGAGAAGGATGCATGATTTTATCATGGCTGAAGACTCAGAGCTCTGGGATGTTATCTGTGATGGACCCTTCATTTCTACGAAGACCATTGGTGAACCAGGAGTGATAGTTCCCAAAACAAGAAAGGAATACGAGGATGCTGACCGCAAGGCTATAGAGAAGAACTTTCAAGCAAAAAAAATCCTTGTCTGTGGTATTAGACCAGATGAATACAACAGGATTTCAGCATGTTAATCTGCTAAGAAGATCTGGGAAGCTCTCCAAACAGCTCATGAAGGGACAACTCAAGTCAAGCATTCGAAGATTGATATGCTAACCACAAAGTATGATCTCTTCAAGATGAAGGATAATGAGTCCATTTAGGATATGCACATTCGCTTCAACTCTATCATCAATGAGCTTCACTCTCTAGGAGAAATCATTCCTAGGAACAAACTTGTTAGGAAAATACTTAGTGTATTACCTGGTTCCTAGGAAAGCAAAGTAAATGCTATCACAGAGGCAAAGGATCTGCAGAAGCTGACCATTGATGAACTCATTGGCAATCTGAAAACTTATAAAATGAAGAAGAAGAAGAAGAAGGTATAATGAGAGAAGAGAGCCCAAAAAGGAGAAGAACTTGGTCCTCAAGACAGACAACAATGACTCAAATGGAGAGGATGCTGATATGGCTTACCTGACAAAGAGAATTCAGAAAATGGTTAAAAAAAATGGAGGTATTCCAAAAAGGGGTAGCTCCAGCAAGCCAATAGTCCCTTTTTCATAAGTGCGGGAAGCCAGGACATTTCATCAAGGGTTGCCCTCTCCTCAAGCAAGATCAGTACAAACACAATACGGACAAAACAGCCAAGAGGAACCCGGTTCCTAACAAACGATTCAAGAGAAAAGATGCCGCTGACAATGTTGTCAAACAAGCTCTTGCTGCATGGGGAGACTCTTCCAGCGAATCTGGAGAGGATGATGAACAAGGTGATAGCTCCATGATGGCAGTAGAAAGTGAAGCAGCTGAATATGACTCTATATTTGCCCTGATGGCAAAATCTGACGATGATGAGGTAAACTTTCTATATGTTCAAAGAAATCTGAAGTATTACTCTCCGAAAAAACTTATGTCTTTGGCAAATGTTTTAATTGATGCTTATCATAGTCTTATAAATTTTAAAAATGCTTTAACTGTGGAACTAGGAGAAGTAGAACATGAGAGAGATGATCTAGTAGTTGTTTTGGTCGATCTAAAAGAAACCATTGAGAGTTTGAAGAAAGAAAAAGATGCTTTAACTTAAAAAACTGCAAACATAGAACATGAGAAAGATGATCTAGTGGTTGTTATGATCGATCTAAAAGAGACCATTGAGTGTTTAAAAAAGGAGAAAGAAGCTTTAACTGAAAAGATTGCTAACATAGAGCATGAGAGAGATGACTTATTATTAGTAATTGTGGACTTAAAGGAAAAAATTGAGGAACTAAAAGGAGAAGGAAGGCATGAGATCACTCAAAAGGGAAAGAAAGTCGCAAATGAGGCACACCTTAGGCTTGAAGATGAGCTAAAATCAGTGAAATCTAGTCTATGTGCTGAACTTGAGAAAAACAAACAACTTCAGAAAGATCTAGGAAGAGTTAATAATGATCTAGAAAAATCTCTTAAGTGGATCTGGTCCTCTGATGCTGTCACTGCCATATATACGAACGATGGAGGAAACAGGAAGGGAAACGGGTTCCAAAGGGAAAAGACTCCTTACAACCTTCATAGCAAGTACGTTACTGTCCCTGATAACTGATTTTGCACTCACTGTGGTAACACTGAGTATTTTAAAGAAACCCGTAAGGCCAGATTTCAGTGACAACAGAAAAATAAAGTTTTTGCTAAAAAGGTAACTACTGCTAAAGAACCTGGTCCCTCATATAAAAAATATGTGATGCCTACTTGGACCAAAAGAACCCTGATTCACCCCTTTCCTCACTACAAGGAACCCAAACTTGTTGGGTTCCTAAGTCTAACTATAACGACACGGCCAGTCGTCTCAAGAGTTATAGCACCGTTCCCCCCATTTCTTGCTTCTTTTGAGTTCTTCAGCTGTATTTTTACTTACCGGATTAGTTGGTTCGGGCCTGGAGTGGTTTTGGAGTGAATTGAGACACTTAGTCTCTTATGAGAAGGTTTAAGTTGGTAAAGTTGAGCGGATGTTGACTTATGTGTAAACGACCTTGAAATTGAATTTTAATGGTTTTGTTAGCTCCGTTAGGTGATGTTGGACTTAGGAGCGTGTCTGAAATATGTTTTGGAGGTCCGTAGTAGAATTAGGCTTGAATTGGCGAAAGTTGGAATTTTGGCAATTTTGGTTAGCAGTGAAATTTTTTATTTCGACATCGGATTGGATTTTTGGAAGTTGGAGTAGGATCGTGGTGTCATTTCTTACTTGTGTGCAAAATTTGAGGTCATCCGGACATGATTTGGTAGGTTTCGGCATCGTTTGTAGAATTTAGAAATTTAGAGGTTCTTAGGCTTGAATCTGAGTGTAATTTGGTGTTTTGATGTTGTTTGGAGTGATTTGAAGGTTCGACTAAGTTTGTATGATGTTATAGGATATGTTGGTATGTTCGGTTGAGGTCACGAGGGCCTCGGGTTGATATCGGGTGATTAACGTGACAAGTTTGGAAATTGGAGGAGTTGCTGAAGTTGGAACTCAGCTGTCATAACCGTACCTGCGGAGTGGGGGCCGTAGGTGTGAGCCCGCAGAAGCGGAGAAGGAGCTGCAGAAGCGGCCAAGGCTGAGTTGGGCAGAGGGCACATGTGCGATGGTATTCCCGCACCTACGGAGGTCGTAGAAGCGGACCCAAGGGCACAGGTTCAAGGCGGGACCGCAGAAGCGTGATGAATTCCGCACCTGCGTGAGCGCAGATGCGGTCTTGAGGTCGCAGGAGTGAGGTCAGGATTTTAAGTGGGTTCCGCACCTGCGATGGATTTTTCGTAGGTGCAACATCGTAGAAGCGACCTTTTTACCACAGGTTCGGTAATGCTGGGCAGAATGTATATATAGAAGGCTTCGCGAATTTTTGCTCAT